CAAATCTTTGACAAACGAATTTTTTCCTCTTTTAGTTTATTTTTTTTATTTTTATTTTTAAAAATTATTGTTTAAAAGATCAATATTTTTTTAACATCATTTAATGTTTAGAAACATTTTTAACTATTTTTTAATTTTCTCAAATTTTTATGTATTTTTTTAAGAATGATTTTTTTCGTTGTTTTTAGAAAACTTATTAATAAAAGATGAACAAAATAATGCTTAGACCTCCTTGTTAGCAGAGCTTTCAATATTAATCTTTCGAAATACAGAAAATAGCTTTCAAAAGATTTACCAGAATAAACAATTGTCATACGAAAGACTTTTGTATTTCGCAAGACTGCGGTGAGTTGGAAGACAGATGCCAGAATTTGCCAGTTAGCGGTATTGTTTGTCTTTTGGATCGGATTTTTCGTTTTGCTTTACACATAAAAATCGTATTCCTTTCTTTAGAATTTATTATCCTGCAAAATGAGACAAAGTAAAGACATACGAACGAATTCCGATCTAACTAAAAACATTTTGGTTACAATTAGAAGTTCAGATCATCTTTACCAGAGATCCAAGAGGGATTTTTTTTAATTTTTTGCTAGTTTTGGTCTGATTCTCCAAAAGTTCACAAGTGTTTGGCATCGAATTTACTCAATTTCAAGCACTTAATTGATTCTTGTACTCAATTATGATTCCAGCTTTTCACATATGTACATTAATAAGTACTCGACTTTTTTAAGAGTAACCATGTCTTAAACTTCCGTAAGAGCAAAAGTGACCTAAGCCACAATTTTTGTTTGTACCTCTCTACTTCAAAATAGTTTCAAACGAGGTAAATTATAAAATAAAAATCTCTTATTTCTGCTATGTAGCTTAAAATTAAGGAATAAGCGAATTTATTTTAAAATTGAACATTTGAAACTATTTAAAGTAGTAGCTGAAGTACAAAATATAAAGTTTGGGTTAGGTGACTTCTGTTTTCACGGCTTCATATAGAATTCGCACATTTATTTAACCCAAATGCAAATCAAATTAACAAAACGCAAATAAAATTAACCGAACGCATTCTTCCTCGAAATATAAGATGAATGTTCGGTGTTGGGCAAATTCGAAAAGCAGTTCTGCCAAATTTTATTTATTTTTCTTGTACTAATTGAAAAGTTTTTAGAAGGAAAAAGATCCGCAAAACGAAATAAAAATCAGCAAAATTTATAAAAGTTCCATGTAGAATTTGTAAGTTTTTCGAATACCGATCATTCGGTTTTTATGCGCGGTAATATGAGCTTCCGGGTTATTTAATTTGCGTTTAGATTAATTTAAATTGCGTCTGGGTTTCACTGATTTGCTTTTTGATTTAGTTTGAATTGCGCTTGAGTTAAATATAGTACATAAATGTATAGTTGTATGTAATTTTACAACGCTTTTATTTCAGGTTATGTTTTTGCCTTATTATAAATCCAGTACAAATGTCTTTGAAACATCCGTCACAAGCAAGAGAGGGGAAAACTTTCTTCTGTGACTTTTACTTGGTACATTTTGTTATAGCGATAACTTAACTTAAAGGAAGTGAAAAAATTGCAAAACTATACCCAAAAATGAAATCCCAATAAAATTATACTTAAATAAAATGTCTTCACTAATCGGGTTGGGATGTATGTAGGTGCGTACTCTGACCAAACTAATTAGTCGGGTTGGCCTCACTGCCTTATTATGTATTACGAACGATTCGTCTGCAGACGATAACGTCTCTGATTGCGAGTTTATTACTCTATCGGTCGTTTTCGTCTAACTTTTCATCAATTACGTTGCAATCGTCTCGGTTGCGTTTAAACCGGCTATAATGATGCCGCCGGACTAATTTTTGAAGCATTCCTCTGCAAACGAATCGTTCGTGTTGCCTATCGTTCGTGATACATAATAAGGCTGTAAATCGGTGGCAATTGCTAGAATATCGACGTCAGGGCTGCCAACTTCTTAGGTAGGCCTATAATTAGTAGCACCTGAGTTTCGGCCACAAGCACGAGCAACTATAAAATACAAATTTTCAGGGACAAATACCATATTATTGCACATTTATTTACATAAGTATTTTTTTAATGTTCTTTTTATAGCACATTCTTTGAAATGTTATGCTAAGATGGCAGCCCTTATCGATGAGTTGGTGGCTGATAAAGTCTGCAGTGTACGCACGTAGAAGAAGAGCGCCTTGCTGATCAAGCAGTCGGCCGATAGTTGGCAGACTTTCTATTTTGAATGCAATCGGCCTGCACTGCAAACTATTTAGTCGGGCACGATTAAGTTGGTGAAGTGTGCGCACATCCATGCAAGATGCATGTATTTTAAGAGAGCCCGACTAAATCGTCGGCCGATAAAGTCTGCAGTGTGCGGGGGCTCTAAAGCAGCATACACGTTTTCAAATAAACGATTATCAGCATGAACTGTCCTTGCTAATACTCCGCACACATCCCAGAAGATAATTTAGGTAGGTCTTTTTAAGTGAAGCCATTCTAAAGGACCTACCCAAGAAGGTATGAAGAAAGTGCTTCCCTACATGGATTCTAGAAGGGCTTTTTCTAATTACGATTTACGCGAAAGTATAAGCTTATGTTATTTAACATTACAAATTAATTTAAAACATATTTGATATGAACCTCAAAGAAAGAGAAAGGAAAGCAGTGGAAGGCCTCTTGAATCTCAAGAAGGCCAAAGTTCTGCCGGGAAATATGTGTCATTCTTTCCATAAATCATTCTAGTATGCAATCAATATCTTTTCGCCTGAAAAAGATTACCTAAGCCAAATTTTTTATAGCGACTTTAAGGTAAAATAAGCACTTCAACAACTTGCAGAATCCACAGTCAGTTGCCACGTTTTTGCTGGCGAAATTCATTCGATCAGATTTAGGGTGCAGCAAAACAGACGGGCTAGCCGCGATCATTACATCATACTCGAGGTACTAGAAACGTTTTTAGGCCGTCCATATTGTTTGACCGCTAACGGGAATGTAGATTTTGTTGTTACCCAGCAAACACAGTATCTAACATTAGATAAACATTTTGTTTTACATTAGAATTCTAAAGTAGGTACTCTAATGTTTCCCGCAGGTTAGAGAACTATGTTAAAATTCGATTAGAGAATGATTAGAAAACCACTAGACATTAGAAACCGATTAGAATTCAACGTTAGAATGCGATTGGATATCTAACCTTTTTCTCGATATCGATAACTAAGTCCCCTTTTTGTAGAGAATGCTATAATTCTCGAGTCGTCTTCTAACCTTCTACCTCAGAGAAACACATTCGAATTCTAATCGGTTTCTAATCGTTCCCTAACCTAAATGTTT